GTGAACAAAATAATAATTGATGGAGAAGTTCCCGGTGAATGGAAACTTAGCAAGATGAGCATAATCTATAAAGGAAAGGGGGACAAAGCTGACATAAACAACTACCGTCCTATAACAGTGACATCAGTGGTCTACAGCCTGGCGATGCAGATTATAAAGAAAAGACTGCAGGCATGGATAGAGGATGAGGGGGTGCTGAGGAAACTGCAGAATGGGTTTTGAAAACACAGGAGCTTGGAAGACAATCTGTTCTCACTGACGCAGTGCATTGAAATAGCAGAAGAGTAACACAGGCCCCTGTGGCTAGCATTTTGGATATAAAGGGAGCGTACGATAGCGTGGTTCAAGAGGAATTGTGCGGAATACTGGACACACTAGGCGTGGAAAATGTAGTCACTAATCTTTTAAGGGATATCTATAAAGTTAACAAAGTAATTATAACGTGGAAAAAACAGGTATCCAAGCCTGCAGAGATAAAACGGGTGCTTAGGCATAGATTTCTCCTGCCTCCCTTATTATTCATAATGTACCTACAAGGATTAGCGGCCAAATTAGAGGGAAGTGGGCTGGGCTTCAACCTATCTTTCGTCAAACAAGAAAAAAGTCATTGGACAGGCACTACCAGCATTGATGTACGCAGATGATATAGTGCTAATGGCGGACAACAAGGAATAATTACAGAGATTGGTGGACATCTGCGGCATTGAGGGAGATAGGTTAGATTTCAGATTCAGTAAGAAAAAATCATTAGTCATAAATGTTAATGACAATGAAGGTAGTGAGCTTAGAATACAAGAGGTCACACTAGAGATAACAGATAAATACAAATATCTGGGCGTATGGATAAGCAATGGGGTCGAGTACCTAAGGGAACACGAAATATACGTGTCGACTAAAGGTAACAGGAATGCAGCAGTAATAAAAAAACTGGGCACTGTGAAATTACAATAGGTATGATGTTGTGAGAGGAATATGGAAAGGGGTCATTGTTTTTGGTCTGACGTTCGGCAATGCGGTCTTCTGCATGAGATCAGAAGTTCAAGCAAGATTAGAAATTAAACAACGTGGAATAGGTAGGCTTGCCTTAGGAGCTCATGGGAATACACCAAATCAGGGAGTACAAGGTGATATGAAATGGACATCTTTTGAGGGCAGGGAAGCTAGCAGCAAGAAAAAATTTGAGAATGAATTGAGAAAAATGGGGGAGGAGCGTTGGGCTAGGAAGGTATTCAGCTACTTGTACATGAAGAATGTCCATACAAAGTGGTGGTAGCAAACCAGAAAATTCACTGGTAAGTTCTTGGAAAACAGCAGGGGGCCAAACTAAAAAAAATTATTGGTTAAGAAGAAGGTGAAGGAAGCTGACACCGATATGTGGAGAATTGGCATGATTAAGAAGTCCGCACTAGAGATCTATCGAACATTTAGTCAGGAAGTTGCCAAGAAAAGGATCTATGATAATACTCGGGGTAGTTCTCTACTGTTTCAGGCCAGGACTGGAGTATTGCGAACCAAGACATATCGCGCCAAATACGAAGGGGTAGACACAGTATGCAGTGCGTGTGGAGAGGACGAAGAATCTGCCGTACACTTGATCATGTTCCGTAAGGGGCTTCACCCTATAGTTCGGGATGATGGCGCAGAGTTTTTCAAAGCACTGGGGTTTAGGGACACTGAGGGCAAAGTAGACTATAAGCTTGTACAATTAACCAGAAGGAGGTTATCTGATTGGTGGCTAAAGTTAAGGCACAAGTTAAACCCTTCAATGCAAGTTGCGAATCCTCACCCTCACTATTTAAAGAAAAAAAAAGATAAATATTGTTTTTGGTTGATTAAGTATTACGGCTTGGTGGCGCTAGCCACCGCCCGATCTAAAGGGTACAGCTATATCTATCCATCTATCCCTCCGTCCACTAACAAACGGCGCCACTAAGGGGTTACAAGTGTATATATATAAGGTATCAATAAACATGGGGCGGCAGTTAGTCGCCGGCCCAGCCCAACGTCGCGTCGTCATATCAATACTCTTGACATGGTGTCAGAAGTGGGATCTGCATCATAGTAAAAATGCCTCTCGGCGAGAACAAGCACAGCGAGCTACTTGCGGCGACCGGCGGGAAAGCCACGGTGGCCATGGACGCTCGGCCTAATTTGCAACCGCCACCCCATTTCGACTTGAACCCAGCGGCTTGGCAAAGGTGGCGTCAGCAGTTCGACGACTACAGTTTTGCAACGGGTCTTCATGCGGCGGACGAGGAAATTCGCGTCAGAACGCTGCTATACAGCATGGGCACCAGGGCACGGGACATCTTGTGTTCATTGCAAGTACGGGACGAAGACTATTCAAAGTACAGCGTCATCGTTGGCAAGCTGTACGGTTACTTCTTACTTCCCGTCAAGGAGCTGTACGAGAGCGCACGGTTTCACCGACGTGTTCAACAGGCAGACGAGACAGCTTACGCATTCTTCACGGCACTGGGAAACATGGTGAAACGATTCAATCACTCTTCACGGAACATCAAGGAGCGACTGGTGCGCGACCGTTTTAGCGTTGGCCTTCGTGACACGAAGCTATCCGACAAGCTCTGCCACAATCCTAAGCTTACGTTAGAAGAGGCGCCCGTTTCAGTTTCAGTTTCAGTATATTTCGGACATAATTACATGACATGATATATGTCCACGAGGCAAGGCAAAAGGAGACGTATGTCTCCTGACGAGGCCTTCACCCCGGATTTGTGTCCGTCAAGCAGAAGACGCAGAGAGGGAAAGGGCAAACTTTTCGGCAGCATGTTCGCCAGTAGTGATAACACACCACGAGTCGATAAACGTGGACACGACGGTGAAAGTCATGCAGAACTGCCCACAGCAGCGAGAGATGCGTGACGCAGCTGCCCCATGGATGCATGTTTATTCGCTTTGTGGATATTGTGGCTGGTCTTACATTTGCGAGCAGAATGTCACGCATGCCGAGCAACCTGCAACAAATGCGGAAAGAAGGGCAATTTCGCAGTAATTTTCCGGGCTAGCAAGCAACTATCTGTCTTGGAATTGGGTGTTGTCGGTTCGAACAGCGAAGAGCGGGCCAAGTTCGTGGATGTAAAAGTTGACGGAATGTCTCTACACTTCAAGGTTGACAGCAGTGCCGAGGTCACAGTCGTCCACAGTACTTTTTCTGGGATTCCGCCATATCTTAAGTCGCCCGAATGGGAGTTTTAGGACCAGCGGGACAACCGCTGGACGTGATGGGAACGTTTACCGCCACTCTGCAATGCAAGAACGAGTCCGCAACGCAACGACTTTACGTACTTCGGTTACAGGCCATGCCACTTCTGGGATATCCTGCTATCCAAGAGCTGGGTGTGGTCAATTTCGTGGACCCGGTTGACGAGATGCAAGGCAACCAGGCGGCATCAGATAAGCTGTTCTGTGGCTTGGGTGAGCTGCAAGAAGCTACAAACTATAAACTATACGCACAAAACCAGATTCTGTCCCCTATTTGCTGCTGGTCCCAAGGCGTGTGCCCATCTCTTTACACGGTGTCGTGAAGGCGGAGCTGGACAGACTTGAAGCGGAGGGCGTGATCAGACGCATGACAAAGCCTGCACCGTGGTGCGCCGGTATGATCGTCGAACCAAAGGCATCCGGTTCATACCGCATGCACGTCGACCTCACCAAGTTGAACCAGGTAGTGTTGCGTGAGCGCCATATCTTGCCCACTGTAGACCAAGTTTTGAGACTACTGGGTTCTCGAAGCTTGACGCTACATCAATTTTTCATCATGTAAAACTGGCAGAAGAATTTGAAGAATTAACAACATTTATAACGCCATTCGGACGTTATTGCTACCGTCGACTACCATTCGGGAAACGTCCGCCCCCGAACACATTCAGCGCCAAGTGAGTTACATTCTCGAGAGTCAAGACGGCGTCGTAAACGTGATTTACGACATTTTGGTTTTTGACCCCGACCGTGCAGAACATGAAAGCCGGCTCCAATCAGTGCTGGCTCGACTGAGAAACGCCTGGCTGACACTGAACAAGTCGAAATGTCAATTCGGCGTCACAAGTGTCAAGCTCCTCGGTGTAGTTATCCGCAGCCTCGTTATTTAACCGGACCCAGACAAGCTTGCCGCTGTCAAGAGCATGGAACCTCCTGTCGACGTCGGTGGCGTCCACAGACTATTGAACTTGGTAATCCACGTGGTGTTATGACCGGCACAGCAAGGAGGTGGCTTGCAAGGGACGGTCATCGGCGTAACGGTCAAACACTGTCCACGTCCTGCAGGAACGCGGGAGGCGTCTGTGTGCGCCGCAGGAAACGCACATCAGCGTCGCTGGGACACACAGCCTGCATCTGAGAAGATGCACGTGCACGGACGAGGGGTATAAAAAACGCGTCGCGTGTGCGGTCGGAGCTCTCTCTCTCCCTCTGGACTTCGCTGGCCCGCTCGTCTCGAGTGCGCTCTGGACCCTTGTGATGGAAAGGCGCGTCAGTACGCTCTCGCTGCAATGTACTTTTCTTGCAAATATGTAAATTAAACGCATCTTCTACTTGTTCATGAGACGCGTTGCAAGAGTCGTCCTTCGCCGGATCCTGGGTGGCAGTCTCAACCCCTCCCCGGGCATATCAACTGGTTGGCAGCTTGGGATCGGTTCATGTTCTTTCCTGGTACCGATGCTGGTGAGTGCTCACTTTCCGTAGAGATTCTGCCAGGTGTTTTGGATAGATGGTGATGTTTATCCAAAAGCGTAGATTAGTTACTGCTTTGTGAAGGATTGGGTTTATTAGAGGTACCTTCACGGCAGTTTGAGCAATGGAAGTCTGCACGGCGTGACCATAGACTTGAACAAATTGAAGAAACCGGATTTAGTGCTGTTGTTCCAGGAGGTGGCGATTGAGGTGGCGACTATACATAGAAAGCCCCTTTATTACAAGCGGTTAAGGATTCATGCGTGGATGCGGAGGAGCTCGCCGAGTGCTGGGAGCTAATTCAGGAGAGGATGAAAAGGGCACAAGAAGTCGAAGAGCGAGAGCGCCTTATGTTTGAAAGAGAAACCATCAGGCGCAAAGAAGAAGCGGAAAGCCAAGAAAGGGAGCTTGAGCGCTTGCGGCTTCAGCTTAAGATTGCAGAGGCAAAAGGCGCTAGTGATCTGGGAACAGAAAATGCAGAGATTCAGGCAGGCGCACGAGTGAGCATGAGGGACCTCTTGCAGCCTTACAAAATGAGCGAGGACGTAGCGTTGTTCCTTGTAAATATCGAAAGAACTTGTGTGAGGATGGGCAGGACCGCATCCACAAGACTCCGTTGCGGCTTCTGCTTCGTTGAATACTACACGCACGCCGACGCCGAGAACGCCATGCGTTACGTCAACAGCACCAAGCTGGACGACCGCATCATTCGTACCGACTGGGACGCCAGATTCGTCGAAGTCGCCAGTTCGTACACGCCAAAAGCGGAGGCAAAGTGCGGAACGAGTACCGCACGGACTACGACAGCGGCCGAGGTGGCTATGGCAAGTTGATGGCCCAACGCGTTGTGCCGCCAGCAGCAGTGTCGCCTCTCTAGCCGCTGAGGAAGCTGTGTGTGAAAACAGATGTACAGTGGGCGTTTGCAATCGGGAGGCTCGGAAACAAGACGCAAGAAGCGGCACAGACGCAAGAGACGTCGAAGAGCCGCGAGCGAGACAAGAAGCACTACGCGTGTTGAAGAAAGCTCGCAAAATTTGGGCGTAGCAGGCACAATTAGGCGTTTCGCATCGGCGTCAAAGTTGCCCTGCATGAGTCCGAGCCACCGGACAACAAGTAAAAGAACAGTGGGTTCTTCGCAAAGGCAATCAAGTGGAAGGCGCCAGCGGAAAAAGGGCAGGCTACAGCTCGCATCCTTGCGACCGAATTCGCGGCAGAGGTTTAGAGCTTTCCGCGGACAAGAGTGTCGAAGGGGTCCTGAGAAAAAGGCCACAATAGCTGAACACCGCACGGGAGTGAGCCCAAATAGGACATCGCCACTCTTTCCCGCGCGTTGCTCGACTCCCCTCCGCCGGGCCGACCGAAGCCCGCCGAAATCGCGAATGAGGCGTGACTGTGCCATTCAGCTGGACGCACGTGCGCGTCATTGCCTCGGGCGTTCACGAAATCCGCCAAGACCTCGACCGCCACGGGTACGATCGAAGTGAGGGACAGCTGTAAGCTGGAGAGTTGGACACAGGGGTTTTATTAGAAGCATGCATGTTTGTTTTATTTGATTTTACAGTAGTATGCCTGTGTCATCACCACGGTTAGTTTGTTTAGCTACACATTTCACTTCTCGTATTTATAAGCATTGTAAGCGTTTTCAGTTAAGTTGATATGCGGAAGCAGTGGCCCGAATCAGTCTGCCGACTGCCTGAAATTAGTTTTTCTTCGAGTTCACTTGGTCACCACCTCAGTGTAGTCTTCCGTTCGGCAATTAACAATGAAAGAAGCTTCGCCCCAACTTGAACCTGGCGAATCTTAGGCGGGCTGAGCACTCGCAGTGTCAGTGTTCTGTTTGTATGCGCCCTCCCCCACTAAAGTCGGGACACTACTGGCCCAAAAAAAGCAGCCTCTGAGGACGCTGACCTTCATTTAACGCCGTGTGACACGAACGACTATGGTGAAACCAGGCAACAGCGACTGGGACTCTGCGGATGTTGATGGTCCCATGCTGTGACCAAGTGGGCGTTGCGTGCCGAGTGTGGTTGCCATTCAAAGGTGTGTGGGCGTACGGTAGATTGTGGCGACGCCGAAATGCGCTGGTTGGGCGATCTGCTTAGTGCTGTGCTATGCAAAGGTGTGCTGTGCTGTGTGGTGTGCGTGTTGGGTAGTTGTTGACAATCAGTGAAAAACCCGGGAAGGAGCACAACGGCCACTTCAGGGAGCAGCGCCACTGCAGCCCTTCTGTGACCTCTTCGGGCGGCGGACGGGCTGTTATGACCGGCACAGCAAGAAGGTGTCTTGCAAGGGACGCTCATCGGTGTAACGGTCAAACGCTGTCCACGTCCTGCAGGAACGCGGGAGGCGTCTGTGTGCGCCGCAAAAAACGCACATCAGCGTCGCTGGGACACACAGCCGGCGTCTGAGAAGACGCACGTGCACGGCCGAGGGGTATAAAAAGCGCGTCGCGTGTGCGGTCGGCGCTCTCTCTCTGGGCTTCGCTGGCCCGCTCGTCTCGAGTGCGCTCTGGGTCCTTGTGATGGAAAGGCGCGTCTGTACGCTCTTGTTGCAATGTACTTCTCTTGCAAATATGTAAATTAAATGCATCTACTACTTGTTCGTGAGATGCGTCGCAAAAGTCGTCCTTCGCCGGATCCTGGGTGGCAGCCTCAACCCCTCCCCAGTCATATCAGAGAGCGGTTCTTACCCCATCTGTCAGAGGTGACGGCCCCCATTCGAGGACTGCTCAACAAAAGAAGTGACTGGGCGTAGGGACTGGCCCAGCAGGTCGCTTTCCAAAAGTTGAAAGACATGATGTCGTCCATCATCTGCATGGCTAACTACCACCCGCTGTACCTGACCAGCCTATCCACAGATTCCAGTTCATTTGGCTTAGGTGCTGTTTTGCTACAAGACCAACCGAGTGAAGAGCGCAGGGCCGGAGCCTACACATCGTGCTCCCTCACACCAACAGAGCAAAGGTACCGCCAAACGGAAAAGGAGGGCTTGGCAGTTGCATGGACTGTCAAGCGGCTTGACGATGTGATGATGTGGATAGTGTGGCCCGTGACAGGGCGAAGAGGGAACGGCAGTTCTGCTCTGCGGTACGCCTTGGAGGCGAAGACGAGGAAAGGAAGCGCGAGCGGAGCGTGCGGTTCGAGCAGTTGGGGCGTGACACAGTTGGAACGGCAGCTGCTGGTCGGCGGTTCAGGTCGCGACATCGCTTAACCAGGCGTCCGGCAGCCTTGCGGACCTGGTGAGCTGGCTTCCTGCTTCGGGCTGCGTCACTGAACCAGGTGTCCGGCAGCCTTGCGGACCTGGTGAGCTGGCTTCCCGCTCTGTGGCCGGCGCTGACACGGGGACTGGCAGCATTATCTGTTCGTGGCCTGAGGTCCTGGGGCCCGAGTGGTGGCACGAGGTGGCCGCGGCTCATGTTGGCGACGGGCCATTAACCTGCACTGCAGTGGCCTGGTGATCTACCGGCCTGCAGCACCACCATCACCACCACCACCACCTCACCACGGTCAAGGCAGCGTGACTGCACAAGGAACATCGGTGACGACCGACCTCACCGCAGCGGCAACAGTCATAATGGCGAGTAGGACAGTTCGTGCGCCGAGGCGCGTAGGACGTTTGGCATGTAAATAAGGAAAGCTATAGTGTGTTGTCTGTGAATTGTAAAAGTTATCGGTTGTGTTAAAGTCTGTGTTGTGTGTACAGAGTCACCTGACTGCCGGTTGATTTATTCCAGAACCTGGGCCCACATTACACCATCACAAACTTGGTGAGCCTGCCAGGATACCGCCAGTAATATCTCGAACGCGGAAATCGCCAGTCAGGTGTGTGCACGCAGCACAAGACGAGAGACATGGATCTCGATAAGTTAGCGGCTGTAGCAGCTGAGTTAGGCTTGTCTGGCGCGGAACTTCGCGAATGGATTGAGCGAGAGCAAGTCAGGCAGAGAGATGAGCGCGCGGCTGAGAGAGAAGAGGCCAAAGAAGCAGCCGAGAGACAACGGTTAGCGGACGAGAGGCAACGGTTAGCAGACGAGAGGCAGCTGCAAATCCTCCAACTTAAGCTTCAGCTTCAGGAAAGTGCTCAAAGTCAGCCATCTGCGGCGGCAGCACTCGCCCCATCGGCAAACCCGTCATGCCTGAATCCGCAGAAGTTACTACCGCTATTTGACGAGCGACGCGATGACCTGCACGCGTATTTGCAAAGGTTTGAACGCGTGGCTACTGGGCAAGAATGGCCAAGAGATAAATAGGGAGTAGCCGTAAGCATGTGCTTAGCTGGTGAGGCACTAACTGTCATTGGTCGAATGACTGCTGACGAGGCCCTCGACTATGATAAAGTGAAAAAAGCCCTACTTCAGCGCTTCAGATTCACGGCACAAGGATATAAAGACAAATTTCTGAAAGCCCGGCCTGAAGATGGCGAAACAGGGAAACAACTAGCAGCAAGGATCTCGAGCTATTTTGATAACTGAATTGAGATGGCTGATGTGCCCAAAACATTTGAGGGTCTTCGTGACCATGTTATAGCCGGGCAATTCTTGCGTTGCTGTAATCCGAAGCTGGCCATCTTCCTGAAAGAGAGGGAATGCAAAACCTTTACATCCCTTTCAGAGTATACCGACCGCTTTCTCGAAGCACAGGGAGTCAATACCATTGGTAAAATAGCAGATTATACAAAGGAGGCAAATAAACCCGGTGCTATGTCACAGTACAAACAGCCGAGTTGCTTTCTGTGTCACAGCAAAGAACATACCGCTCCGGATTGTCGTGCGATTCCGAAAGAGTCTGTGAAATGCAAAACATGTGGGCGGCTTGGCCACAAAGCCACCGATTGCAAGGATCAGAGCAAATACAAGTCGGTGTCTTGTGCCATGATAGAAGAGAAAAAACAGGATTACTTCCCTATGGCCAAGTCGAAGGATGAGACATGCGCTGCTGAATGCCCCAAGAAGTGCGAGAACCAACCTATGTTTTTAGTCGACAACATGCCAGTGGTCGAAGGACGGGTGCTTGGACAACGCGCACGTGTCTTACGAGACACAGGGAGCAACACGACCATCGTCTGACGCGAGTTAATGCCGGATCGATGCCTGACCGGGAAGACGGCAAGAGTTATGCTTTTGGATGGAAAGGCCAAGGAACTACCGGAAGCAAACATACAGATACACACGCCCTACTTCGTTGGTGATGTAAACGCTTTATGCATGACTAACCCTTTGTTCGACCTCGTGCTCGGCATTATTCCAGGAGCAAAAGGACCACAGAAGCCAGATACTACCTGGGAGTACTCTGACGCTCTGTTCCCTGAATCGACTGGTTCGAGCAAAATCCCGGCATGGTGGGAAAAGTCAATCTTGCTTTCTGCCGTCGTCCGGACGCAGGGGAATACGGAGAGTAGGATGAAGATTTTGCTAGTTGGTTCGCTAGAAGTGACCCGAGTGTAGCTAACTGAGAGCCAAAAAGACGACCCAAGTCTGAAGAGTTGCTTCAGCAAGATTGGGAAGGAGCTTCCCTCCAATAAAGACACGACGTACCACTTTTCTGAAGAGGCTGGTCTACTGTATCGACATTACCGCCTTTATACGGGCAGGACTTTTAAGCAAGTAGTCGTGCCAAGGACAATTCGACAACACATTTTGAAGGTTGCACACGAGGGCATTATGGCTGGACCCCAAGGCGTGAGACGTACCACAGACCGTATCCTTGGGGATTTTTACTGGCCAGGTATGCATGAAGAAATCAGACAGTTTGTCAAGTCGTGCGACGTCTGCAAGAGGACAACGCCGAAAAAGAAAGTCGGAGTCGCTCCGTTGGGCAACATGCCTCTCATACGG